CTCACTGCCATTTTGGTGTTCACCATGGAGTGAAAAACAAAAGAAGCCGTAAACACATGGTGATGGTTTGCTAGCACAAACACTGCTCAGGACGGCAGGCACTATCTGCGGCACATCACACCCAGCTCCCACACTGGTTCGGTTCCGGGTTCAGCAGACACCTTCCGCACCCTGCTCTTGCGCTCAGTCCTTCACTGGCTCAGCCAACACCCGCGACATGCTGCTCCCGCACTGGGCCCTTCACTGGCTCAGCCAACACCCGCGACATGCTGCTNCCGCACTGGGCCCTTCACTGGCTCAGCCAACACCCGCGACATGCTGCTCCCGCACTGGGCCCTTCCTGGGTTCAGCCGAACCAGCGGCACCCCGCTCCTACGCCAGACCCTCCCCAGCTTGGCCCATACCCATGGCAGGTGGCTCCCATGCCAGCCCTTCCCCAGTTCGGGCGACACCTGAGACACGTCGCTCTTGCGCTCTGCCCTTCCCCAGTTTGAGTTCTCGCCAGTCACTGCTGACACCTCTTCACTAGCATGAATACATTTCTAATTAAATTTAAATGTTGTCTTTGGAAAGGTAAGTGCAATATATAATAGCAACATTTTTTATAAAGCACTTAATCTTCCTTACTTGCACTTGTGGCTAAACGCACATTAATGCAGTGCAATGCATTAATCATAACCACAAATTTAAAACAATACCCCAGGGAACACATATAAGATCCATTTGATAATGCGGACTGCCTCCCTGCCCCGACATCCGAGCGCGCAGGTGAATTTCTATGCTGACGGAATTCCCACCGGCTGGCCAATTGTGATGTGCAGATTCGGAACAGGTGACATTCCTGATAGCACAGGTGACGCCTGCGTGTCCCCAGGCAGGCTCGGGGCACACCAGGCCTCGCGCCCATCACTTACAGATCAATGAGGCCCAGCAGGCAGCTCCTAAAGCCACACTGGCAAACAACTTTGATTTTCTATCATCAAAAGCCCTGCATAATTCCTTTGAAAAGAAACATTTGTGACCCTCTGTCTTTTACGAAAATGTTAAATATTTCACACCCCTTTCATCTTGGGCCTTGTTAGCGTCCTACCCCCCCAATCCCCCCCCCCCCCCCCACCACCACCAACCTTCCCCTCAATTCCCAAATCTCTCGGCCCCTCTTCAGAATCCCCACGGAAATGAGCATCAGGCCTTCAGTACTGTGCTCCACAATGCAAGCCTGGTATTTTGCATTGAAAGTGCATGCTGTACCAAAGAGCTACGTCTCTGCATTTTCCAGGAAGTATCTTAGATCATTCTTTGAAGGGCAACATGTCAACTGATAGCTTTGTGCTGCGGTCAGAATAGCCACGAGGAGTAGGAGAGATGTGTGTGCCGAGGCCTTCAACCAGGATAAAACAGCTTTCAAGGTGCACAGGTGGGTCATGTATGTGACTTCCTAGTGTTACACGAGCCTGTCACTCGCTCTAGTGGTCAGCTCTCCCCGTGACTCAGGATGCCAAATGCAGAATTTAAACATACATTTAAAATGTATTTAGAATTTAGATGCTCATGAGAAAATGTAGGACAAAAGTAGCACTGCCACACAAACAGGAGTCGATTCATGGCAATTACATAGAATTCTCTAAGTCTGGGGCTTTACCTGGTTCGTCCCTCCTCTCTGGATCTGTTTTTTTCAGTAATCCTTAAGGATTCATTACCTTAATCACATACATTGCAACCAACAACAGCACACCCGACCAATGACAATCACAGCAGAAGAGTGTAGACAGCACGCATGCAGTATCGCACCAGATGGAACATCATGCACCAATAGGGTGGATGATGGGCTTGGCTTGGTGTGGATGGTGCTGTGTGACATCATGGGGTCATTCCATGTCAAATCACCACACTTTCGGACCTCATCGTCACGGATTTTAACGAAACTTGGCATGCTGATTTGACCTTAGTATAAGCTGCCCAGAAATGAACCTCATATTGTTTTAAAGCTATTGTCCAGTTCTATAGATTGAATAAATAATATGCCATCCCCATATGAATTATTACAATGTAATAACTGATTAAAATATTAAAAATTAAATAAATAAATAAAACTATAAAACTTATCAGTTTTTTTACTAAAGCTAGCTCATAATGTCAGGAACATCTCCAGAAAATGTCAGTTTCATGAGTTACTCGTAACCAAATCAGCATGCCAAGTTTCGTTAAAATCCGTAACGATGAGGTCCGAAAGTGTGACGATTTGACATGGAATGACCCCATGTGTGACCCTCCTATTCCTCTGCTAGGTATCACGCCTTAACACAGAGCGAGCGGGTCTGGTGTCCCGGGCTGCCACGTCGTGGGGAGAGTGTTCACCTTTAGCTGATTCAACAGTAAAAGAATTCTCCCTCATACTGAGCAGTTTGACATCTTCTCTTCATCATGGGGAGCTTACATGAATCCTGCTGCCCTCTAAAGAAGCCTTACAACCCTAACCCTCACTACAATGACTTGTCCATCCTCTCTGGCTTTTCCCAAACATCGCTGAGTCATGTTGGGTATCCTGCTAAACCATGTTTACAGACCTTGAGGTAGGGAATAGGAAACATGATCCTCTCACTAAGAGCGAAATTGTTCCTGTGAAATAAAGGCAACCTGTGCATTTCAACACTGTCATTACACATGTGTCAACAGCTAAACTCGCTGGGTGATTAAGCCACACTCGCGGCAAGTAATTACACAGCCTGCTCTAATCTCTCCCGACAGGTGTGTCTGGCTGTAAGCGCTGATTTCTGTTCATCGTCATAAGATGTGGCGAGCCGTTAACGCTGTTAAATAACCAGGTGCCATCACAGGATGCAAACCCAAAGGGTGCCCCATCAGCTGTTTGAGACCATCTACCACAGCTTGGACATGGAGAAAATGTGCAGCATATGGAAAACTGAGCCATGAAGGGTTCCAAGCCCGCTAAAATGAAAGCAGTTGGTTTTTCCCACTATTATTTACAACCTCTTCAGAACAATTTTTCCAGATGAGGTGAAGTGGCAGGAGACACCACGTTTGAACGTTATCTTGGTCTACCTACACTGCTACAATGGTGATGAGCAAAAGCATGACAATGACAATGGTTCATGTCCAGTCTGGCCACAAAACAAGGAATAATACTGCATAAAACCATCAAGAACAAACAAATGACTAAACTGGAAGAATTGGAAGAGGGAAATAAACGTCCATGATCCACATCGCAGGTGAAACAACTCAGCATCTTTCAACCCACACCCATCGGAAGTGACTTCAAAGGCCATCTCATCTCTTATCGCTCCATGTGGTGAAAACTAGGTCTGCATACTTTAACAGAATATCAGAATCTTTTTTAATCAGCTTAAACCCCTATTCCACTACCTACATAACAGGAAGATATCTCAGCTGAACAAGAAAACTATTTCAGTGGGTTTTAAATAGGAATGAAACCTTTCATGCGCAAGGAGAGAATTTATAAACAATTTACTTAAACCTAGGAAACATACAGCAGGGCAGATTGTAGCATAGTGGATAATGCCCAGCACCTTAAAGTCACAGGATGAAGCTCCAGGAAGGGCCCTCAAACACGAAATTTGCAGTATTATAAACAGCTTAAAACTGCAGGTCACTTTGGACAGCAGCAGATAAATAGCTCAATTCATATGTAGGGCTGTCACCGTCGATTATATTGATAATCGAGTAATCTACAGATTAATCTAACGATTCATCGAGTAATTGTTTGTATGTAACATAACATATACATTGTAATTGGCGTGAGGCAGAAACCAACCACACATTGCAGGGTACACACTCAGTCTCACATACGGACAATTTAGGCACTCCGATTCACATAAGTTTAATGTTTTTGAACAGTATAAGGAAATCGGCGGATCTGCTGAAAAGGCACCCACACACAGGGGGAATATGCAATGTCCACACACACAAAGGGGCGGCGTGTGCTGAGGGGGCTACCCAGTGCGCCACTGTATCGCTGGGCTTGTATGATGTACCATGTTAATATCGACATGGCATTTCATGCACATGAAATCGTCACATTGCAAAGGACCGCGATAGTCGAGTTCAAACCATCAATAAATTATGCTAAAACATTTACTTCGTCATAGGAAACCAAAATTAGCAAGCTTGGCAATTTTAACGAAGCTTCATTTTGAGCATTATCTAATATAGGTTTAAAAAATATGTCTAAAGTCTACCACCACTGCTTTTGCAAAAGCACTGCATGCGATCTCTGAGACAACCATTGCTTTTTCGTCCTTTCTGTTGGACTGATTCATAGACTGTGGTGGGTTTGTGAAAAATTAACCAAAAAATGAGTGAAGAAAAGAAAGGTAAAAAGGAAGTGGTTACGAAGTCATTCATATTGTAAAATAAGTTAAACGTGGATAAGCTCTACATTTGGCTATATAGTTAATTTTCAACTCATAAATATCGCAATATAATCTTTTTCTAGTCTAATAACATGCAATATGTTAACAAAATAATTTAAGTTATTTTTTAAGTTATTTTTTGATAGGGTATTATGTAAGCTATCATGCAAAATGATGTGGTGATATTCAAGTTCTGCTTTGCAATACTGACAGACATCTGCATTCTCATTCACTTTTAACACAAAGTACTTCCACACAAATGATGCTTTCACTCTATCTGGGCCCTCATCCTGCAAGTGCCAAATATCTTCCTCCATATTGCTGAGTAATCACGAAAGAACATTTTAATCAATGCTTTTTAATAATCGAGTTTAAAATCGAGCAATTGTGACCACTCTATTCATATGTACACAGGATTTAGCACTGTTCTCCATTACATATGCCCCATGCGGCAATGCAAAAAGAAATTTATGAACCAAACTGCTATGAACTAATAATGGAAACCTAAAAAGTCGGCAAGCTCGAGTTGTGTCACACATCCACCACCACATCAGAAACGAACAACGGCATCGGCTGCTGCCCGTCCCACCATCATTTTCCACGCTGCACTTCCCATAAGTAGCCTCACCTTTGAGATGTCTTGGCCGTCGATGCGGATGCAGCCTCCCTGGACACTGTAGAAGCGGAAGAGCAGGCGGATGATGGTGCTTTTCCCCGAGCCTGACTGGCCAACCTGAAGACAGCAGAACGGGACAGGAAACCAGTGAGCAGAGTGGAACGTAGCAAGACAGAGAGCCACCTCTGATACCCTTACTGGGTGAGACCTTTTAAGAATCTCTGCAAGTGCTATTATGTTAAAAAGAAGACTAAATCTGAATAGGTACAGGATATAATGCTGGGAATTGATAGGTACCTTATCTCCAGACACCACAAATGAAATGCAGTGAGGTTATAAACCTACCAGAGCTACAGTCTGCCCAGGCATCACAGTGAATGAGATGTCCTTGAGGATCTCCTTCCTACAGCGACATTTTTAAAACATATATTACACATCAGACTGTAGCACAACACAGCTGTGACAGAGATTTCTGTTTGTTCTTAGATTCTAGCCCACAGAACCTTGGGGGGGGGGGAGAAGAGAGGAGTGGGATCAAAGCTACATAATAATGTTTCATCAGATGAACAATATGGACCATGAGAGGAAAGACCACCTGAAACATCTGGATGAATTAAAATGTACAGCTGCACCAGGGCCTATAAAAACTAAAATGCATGAGAATATTACATCTGTACTTGCTTCCCTGAAATGCTTCCCTGTCTAATTTAGAGGTTTTTTCCTCACTGTTAAACGCTAAAAAGGACTTGCAATAACATATCTTAAGTATTATTTTATTCCACGCACTACTTCCCATACAGATATTAAGCTGCATTTTAATGGCCTAAAACACCTGCTTTGCATTCAATCGCATTATCGTGACTTGCTTCTATAAGCAAAACAATAGGCCAGCCAAAGATTAGATACAATCGCCCTTTTCTTTTTGCCATGCCATGACCGTCTCTGGACTTTGTAGTTTGTTCCAAATACTGTCTTTTTTCATTATGCTGCCAAAGCTGAGGCCACTTGGCTTAGTTTGTATTGCATATGACTATCTCTACACAAAGACAGATACATACATACTAACAGATAACTAAATACAAACCCAATAGATATCCATGTTACATGGACCAGATTAATGGAATTTTAACATAAAAAGAGCATTTGAAGTTTACTCTATACATAAGTGACTTTCAAATGCCAGAGATGACCATAAACTCATCGGACAGTTTCTCATGAATCGAAGGATGACAGCAAGTGACCTTCAAAAGGAATGGGAAACATTAAGTGCAGGTGTGACATGCTCTGCTAGGACAGTATCAGGCTCCTAGAAGCAGGCTGAAGTCCCATAAAGCAAGGAAGAAGCCCTTCATTAATGAGAAACAGGGAAGAACCAGAAAAATATACATTATTCACAGACACACACCTAAAAACTGAGAAATGAGAGAAACAAAAAATTGTGCTGTGGTCTCATTTTTTTTCTGTGGCTGTACTTTTGAAGACACAGGGAAACCAGATTTTCCCCCATATTGGCAAATTGGGTTTTTACATTGTTGTTCTTAACATAGCGCTTTGTGATCCCTAAATTAAAAAACAAAAAGATTAAATTAATTTTCATGTACTGACAAAGGGTAATTACATGGAGACTTTGATTCCACCTGATCTGAACGTGAAGTCACCTTTGGGCAAAGTATTGTCACCGGAAGGAAACTTGGAATAGTGACATTGTTGACATTTAAGCCTGACTGTACATGAGTCTGTGATGTCGAAGGCGAACGTACCCATCAACGTAACTGAAATGGACGTTCTCAAACTCCACCTTCCCAGCCTTGAACTGGAGGTTTCCAGCATTGATGTCGTCCTTCACCTGGAGGGGGATGGAGGAGAGAGAGAGTGAATGTGAATGGGAGGTAGGAAGTGGCCATGTGTCACCAACGAAGACTAACACAAGCTAGGGAGAAGAGCCAAGGACTGCCACTGCGCACACAGTGCCTCAACAGGAGGGGGGGGGGGGGCACTGCGCACACAGTGCCTCAACAGGAGGGGGGGGGGGGGGCCGCCCCTGGGCCTGCAAAGTGGATTAAAGAATTAACATGTCAAGAATACTTCTTAGCAACCACCTTGAAGTTAGCATCAAAGCGTGCTTCGATTGCAGACCCCCTCCACAGCGACGCCCGGCCCGTCACTGTACAGCTACAGCTCCCGAAGACAAACTTAAAAAGAAATCTGAACATCAAATAATGCCTTTGTTTTGATTCTTGCAGACATTAACATATCAAGGGGATCTGAGCAGCCTTTGTATGCTGGGTGTCGGCTGTGTGTTTTTGGGGAAAATTTTCCCACAGCGGGGCCCGGCCCTGACCAAGGCTTAGGCCAGGAGGGGGGCAGAGGGGCTCTGTATCAGCACCCATCACATGCTCCGCTTACGCATCACTAAAACACAGAGCTTCTCCCGTCCGATCACCCAAAACGTGGCCATTTCACATCTACTACCAAGCGTTACATAAGTAACAAAAAAAGAACACACTTCTTATCTTAAGATACAAAACACCCTTGTGAAATATTTTGATATTACTGTGGAAAACTACATACTTCCTCCTCTTCCTCAAAGAGTTTGAACATGCTTTCCATGTCAATGAAGGACCTCTGGATCACCCTGTGGAGAGAAGGGGGTTGGATTAAAGATGTTTTTGCGAGGCTATCAAATCCTCATGTGATTAGGGTCCGCATCACCCAAGTCTCACCTGTAATAGGTTCCAAACCAATTGAGTGGCGTGTACAACTGGATGATATACGTTGCAAAGAGGATGTAATCGCCAACCTATCAACCGAGTAGAGAGCAAGGAGAGGTTAAACTACTAAATCACGACATCCCAAAACCCAAGAGACGGAATACCAAAAGTGTATCGGAAAAAAATACATCACTATCTCAAATTGGAATGAAAAGACACCTGGAATTTTTTCTCTGAAACAAAGTAAGCGCAGAGGAGAGAGCCAGCGAGCAGACCGGCGCCGATGATCACGTTCTGCGTCTGGTTGAGTAAGGCCAGGGAAGCGTTTGTCTTCCATTCTGACGACTGAGAAAGAAGAAGAAGCTCAGCATCTGCTTTCTCTCGACGCATTTTATCATCAACAATGATTTTATTCATTTAAACACTGTCTGCTTGTCACCTGATACTTCAGGACGGCCTCCTCGAAGCAGCCGACCTCATAGCTCTCAGCATTGTAATATTTAACCTAAATTTAAAAAGTAAGTAAAGATTAACCAAAAGAATAAGAAAAACCAGGAATAACAATGGTAGCAGAATCAGACGAGAGCTTTCGTATTACCGTCTCAAAGTTGAGCAACGAGTCCACCGCTTTGGACTTGGCGGCGTTGTCCTGGGCATTCATGTCCCGACGATACTTGGTCCTCCACTCGGTGATGATCACGGTGAGAGCTGAGGAGAGAAGGAAGAAGTTGGTGCTATTGCTGCAGTCTGTGTCAGGCCACACGACCGCTTGCTGGATAGGTCTGTGTCAGGCCACACGACCGCTTGCTGGATAGGTCTGTGTCAGGCCACACGACCGCTTGCTGGATAGGTCTGTGTCAGGGCACACGACCGCTTGCTGGATACGCCTGTGCACTCACTGAGGTAGAGGAACATGCAGACGAAGACGATGAGGCCAAACCAGGCACTGAAGTAGGAGATGAAGTAGATAATGGCGATGACGATGTCCGCAATAGTAGGGAAGATGCTGAAGGCGATATAGCTGGGGAGAGGTAATGCGGGAGTTAATCCCTCAGAATGTTCTTTAATGATACTGTTTGAAAAGTACAATCAATTCAGTTGATTGTGGGTATGTGTGTGTGCAGGGGGGTTAACAAAATGCATTAAGTTTGGAAATGGCCCCGGCAGTCTCAGTACAGGGACTGGACTCACCTGAGCAGGCTGTCAATGGAGGAAGCTCCGCGGTCAACACTGCGCAGGACGTCGCCGGTGCGTCGGCCCAGGTGCCACCGCAGGGACAGAGAGTGCAGGTGTGCAAAGAGACGCACCTGCACCACGCGGCTACTGTACTGCTGCACCCGGATCCATAGGAAGGACCGCAGGTTGCTGACAAACCCAGAGGCTCCTGGGGGATGGGAGAAGGGGGTGGGCTGGGAATGAGAACTGGCCAATCACACGCCTGAAGGATAAGTAAATGGAGCCATGACACTAGAGCAAAGAGAGCCCAAACCTACCGGCTCCACCTCCCTGCAAGAACTTCAGCAGAACGTAGATACAAACGGTTGTGGTCAAGGTCTTCCAGCTGCTGCCGTCCGACAGCTCGTTGACTGTCGAGCACAGAAAGAAGAACACAAGTTAAAGACTGCATTCACATTTAAATAATGGAATAAAAGAACAAATGCTGCCAACATCTTCCTTTCTTCGACACAGGTATTGTATAATTTGATTTAAGCAGAGTTATGTTCTTGGGATGCTACAAGAAATGCTACCAGAACACCACAATTATGTAGCATTGTGCCACATATTGAATGATACCAATGAGACCAACCGACTGAATGATATCTAGTCTTGTGAGAATAAAAAAATAACAATAACCTTGTGACATGGCCACAAATATTATTCCAGGTTCACCATAGATTAATGGGAAAAAACCTGATTACATAAAAGGGTGGAGAATTTGGAGAATCTGATTTTGACACCTTCAGCAAACAGAGGCCTTTAATACAGATTATAGTTTATCATTGTACAGTTTGGGGACATTCTCAAATCATATCATCCTTTGGTCTCTGTTAAATAAAATAATATTAATTTTCTGCTGTGGGTACAGTAAGGTAGATCACAAGTATTCATTTTTATTTGTGTTTGATATATTATGGCTACAGCACACCTTGAAGAAATGGCAGCAAAAGGCAAAACTAGACTGTTTCTCATAGCTGGTGTGTCTGCAGGGAAGGGGACTGTCAGAATGTGGAGTTAATATAACATAATACAATAAGTAATTGTTATTGAAATAGGTATTCATCATGTCTGCAGAAAGCATCTGCAAAGTTCTTTGCAGAAACATTCTGGTGCTCACTCATAGCGAGGACACGATCGGTCACACGGAGCAACAAAAAAGACTTGACATGGGACTAGAGGTCACCAACATTTTTGCCCCGCTTTGCTTGTGCTCCATTGTGAGTGGGTTATATTATGGCTCAGAAACCTTGACTCGTGCATTGTGCAGGCAGCCATTTAAAGCTTCACTCATCGGCGCCAAAGCTGCCATGTGACTGCACGGCCGGTTCCACGGGGCAATGCGGATCTGGGGCTGACCAGAAATCCCAACCAGACTCATTTGCATTCATTAGGGTTTTGATTGTAAAATGGGTGCAAAAGAGGGAAGAAAAGGAAAGGAGTGAAACAATACAAAACAAATGCCCAGAGAGGAGGAAAAAAAGTGACTCTCTCTTTTGGTGGTGACTGCAAAGAATGGAGTTGCGGTTTTCAGCCTTGGCACAGGGGGTAAAGGGAGCCTCAGACAAACAGCCCCTTGTACCAGCGTGTTAACTTTGCTGAAAGCCCCTTACGCCCCCTAATCGTGACTGGCAGGGTGGGTGACCTCCCCTATCAACCCCCAAGCCCACTCCACAGCACAAAAGGCGGCCTTTTCAGCAGCCGGCTCTTTTATGTGGCTAGAAACAGCAAAGCGTTATTCGCATTTGGTGACAAACCACAGAGCAGACATGGCCCCTAAACATCCCTTGTTTGTTCACCCATGTTGCAGAGAGGCCTTTTGGAAAGTGTTTCAGGTCCATGTTATTCAGATAGGCAGGCGGGGAGCAGACCCAGGCACGGGGGGCACCAGAGCAAAGCTATGCAGAGGTTTAAACGCTGTCCAGTTTGGTCCCACATCCCTTTGTGAGAGTCGAAGGCATTTTGGCTGCGAGTTAACAGAGGGCTTTGACATTGGGTGAGGTGCTGGGGGGGGGGGGGGGGCAGTGGCACATCCTGCCGGCCAAGAAGGAGACACTGCTCCAGTATGCAAGGAGACATCAGTGAGGCACCCACTTCACACACACATAAACACACGCATCTGCTTGGTGCACGCAAAGACAGAGGGAAGACAAAAACAAAGCCAAAAATAAGCACAAGGCGATGACAGGGGGATTCATTTATGGGTCACTTTGTGAAAGATCCAAAAAATGTGTTATTTAATACAGTGTGAACAAGACAAAAAAAAAAAGCGAAGTATTTACTTGTTTTCAATGAATACCTTAGAGTTCCACTGAATCCTTTAGCTATCTAAGAAGCAGAGAAGTACCCATTCTGTAGAGTTAAATGTGCAATCTCACAGACCAAAAAACCATTATTTACACTGTCTGATTATGCTATTTTCAATTAGGCCAACTACGGATTATGTTATGTTGGTGAAGAGTGAACGTCAAAAATGAAGTGAAACCTTCCTGAAACGCGGGGATATCGGCAGCTGTTTCCATGGGAGGATAATGGCCAATTAAAAAATAACTTACTGGATGCAATAATGACCCTGACAAAGCTTCAAATTTAAATTCCAGGTTAGAAAGTTGCAGCGTGAATGCTGTCCCCGAGCGACACGCTACTAGTTTAGGTTACGTGTCGATCTTGCCATCTACTGTCGACAGTTAGTACTGCAGCATATACGGCTGCAAACAGAATTCAGGTCATATTTTTTGTAATTATGAGATTAGTACGAAACACCAAAAATGGCGTGAAAACATGTTTCTATATATACGTTCTACAAAGTCACAGAAAAATTGCACCTTAGAAACAACAGTGACCCAGACCAAATCAGAGCAGAGGATCCATATCACCATACTGACAGGTCGTCACAATGCTGCCATATGTGGAAACTTTTATGCTCTTACCAATGTTCTTGTAGTAGATGGGCACGAAGACATTAATTGCCCGCTCTACACCTAGCAAACAGACGCAGAACAGAACGAGCGCCTGCAGGAAGACACTGCCCCGGGGCCACATGTACGGCAGCAGCAGACCAAACTTCTTGCGGAAACCCTGCCAGGTGGACTGGGACTGTGGAGAGCCCCCTAAAAGCAGCTGGAAGGCGGTCACAGGGCACAGAGAGCAGAGAAGGAAATAAACAACATGTTCATTTAAAAGCAAAGCCGCACAAACAAAACCAGGATCAAGTGTATTATCATTATCATCGATACATCTACCAATTACATGTTTTATGATGGTCATTAGACATTGTAGTACATCAAATATATCGAAAGGTACAGAATGCCATCTATAGTATTATTTTTAAAAAACGCAAACGCATTTCAAATAACAGACTTAACTTTTTAATTGCGTAAAAATAACCAGGAGAGGCCTAAAAAAATCTAGAGAAACTTGTACCTTGGAAGGAAAAAAGTGGCGTGGTTCCTACCTGTATATTCAGCATTAAATGTGGTACCTCTTTGGCTAAAGTACTTCATACCATTTTAAAGTTTTCATACAAAGCAAATTTGCTGCTGAGTCATTCTTACATTGCACTCTTTCGCATAGTCATTGTTCTGATTTGCAAAGTCATTGTTTAGTTTCGCATGGTCATTGTTGTGAGCAAAATGAGTGAAGGGGTATACAGGCATCCAGATATTTCCGGCTATTCACTTTCCCTCTAAATGGGTGTGTCAGAGTGTTTTGAGGTGCAGTTTCAATCAGGGCCATTCATTATAAATAAAGAATTACATTTTAAATGGTTGCTAATGCTAATCGTTATTCTTACTGCTATTGAACTGCAGAGTGGAGACTATAACTCAGTCTGCTTAATCTTTATCGCTACACTAGAACCAAGTATCTATTTCATAAAAGGCTTTAAGGGATTTATTGAATTTTATATTTAAAACCTATTTTTATCTTTTTTATTCAAAACTGAACGTTGTACTGTAAACACAATTTTAAGGAAGGGCTATAACCATAACACTTCTTTGATGCTGATTCTTAAACCACCAGTGTCTTGCCACTGACAGACAGCCAGGATTACCTGTCCATGCTCCAGGTCACGTTCATCCTCGTTGATGAGGAGCATATATGGCCTCTTTGGTAAACCTGGAGCCTTCAAGCCCAGGAGAAACAGTGCCCCTGTGCCAAGATAACGGACCATCCAGAGCGCAAATTCCACCTGTAGGGATATAGACTGCATCTCAGCCATCAGCACCAACACACATTCTCTATACTTCTGAGATAGACATGTAGTCTAGTTATAAAGGGATGGAGCAGTTGTGATGGCAGGAGTAGGCAACCCATTTCCTAAGATATAAGATCTCGTTCTTCCTCCTCAAAGTTCAGTTCTGTTTTATCTAATGGTAATAAAGGTGTGGAATATTTGTTTGATCATCTGAAAGACATACACGAATGCTTCATGGGAAGTCATACGAATTTAGCACAGAATGACACTTATGTGTGCTGGGTTCCACAGAAGCAGCCCAAGAATTCTCATACATAGTTTCTGTTTTTTAAAATACTGCAGCATTGATCCTCAGGAAGACAGGATCAGAGGCACACGAGCCAATCCGTCAGTTAAATGTATGATGTAGGAAGAGGCGGAGACAGGGTGGGGAGGAAGACAGCATGACAAAGGTCTGAGCAATGACTCAGCAACTTTGAACATTTCTCCTGTGTTTACCTCACTCTTTTGGACTAGTTTTTTTCGCTATGTCATGTGTCAAAAATTGAATTTTTATGGAAGAAAAAGTTATATTAGTCTATATTACCACATGTCAAAAATCATGTAGAAAAGAAAAAAAAAAAGCCAGCAACCCCCAAACATATGCTAACATTTATGGTCCTGGTCTGTTTCCTGGGCTGGATATGAACTGAAGATACCCATAAATCAACAGAAAATAGTACCCATAAATACACATACAATACACAAAAGAAAGACACATGGTGCTCTGCCACGGTTTCCTTCTTAATATTGTACTTGTTAATCCAGGTTTTGAAAGTTGATTATCTCGAAGAAAGTCATATCTACAACAATTCACATATCAACTGGTAAGCAACAGATTTTCAGAATCCCAACAGAGTTAAGGAACAGAAACAAAAACCATTCCTGAAAACATTATATCCAACATAGCTGAGAGCAATTTGTAAGAAATGTTCTCCCAATGCTTCAAAACTCACCTGCTGATCTGTAGATTCAAGACCCCACCACCAGAGGGGGCTGTACCAAGAGACAAAAGCAAGGTTCTCGGCCGAGAAGGCTAGGGCCCAAAAGAGCAGAAGAACTGCGCTGTGTCCTCGAGTTCGGTCTTGTACCAGGACCCGCCGGCGCTCCAAGTGCAGCAGGGCAATGGCACAAGCCCAGCCCAGTGCAGAGAGACAGCCATAGACCAGCACATGGCCATGAAGCTCAGTGCCCTGTTCTGCCCTCCAGATCATGCCCACCAGGAACTGGAGCAAGAGCAGCACGGACAGGCCCTGCTGCAGTCTGTAAAGGCGTGAGCGTGGCACAAACTTGGGCTCCATCGCTGTGCCATAGTGCTGGTAGCAAACCCAATGGAATGTCCCAAAGAACAATGAGAAGGTCAGGAGTACGGTAGGGACCAAGGTTGCGTAGAAGCAGGGGGAGAAGCCGCCCTGCACCCAGGCCTGTGCAAGCGAGGTGCGGGGGTCGCAGTAATTCCCGAGAACTGCCATGACTCAGGAACCTTCACTTCTGTTGAGAGAGAAAAAATAAAGCTCTTTGAAAGAGATGCAACTCAAATCTGCATACTTTTCCCAAAGCTGAATAAAAAATGATTATGTTGTTGTTTCAAATGCTCTCAAATCACACATGAAATCTCTTTTATGAATATGCTCATATAAGGCAAGCAAGAAGGGACTGTTCCATTTAAAGAGTGGGCCAATGCTTCTTGAACGCACATTTCTAGATAGAAACTTAAGCAAACTAGAGGTGGTAACCCCATACTGTGACCCGTTTGTAACCCCATCCAAAGTGACTGTGCTGCACATAAGCCTTGGCACATTTGGTCTGGAAACCAGAACTCCAGTTCTTTAATGGGATGTGTTTACAAAGGCTTTCTGTTATTCCAGAACCATCCATCCATCCATTGTCCAACCCGCTTATCCTACTGGGTCGCGGGGTGTCCGGAGCCTATCCCGGAAGCAACGGGCACGAGGCAGGGAACAACCCTGGATGGGGGGGCCAGCCCATCGCAGGGCACACTCACACACCAGCCACCCACACATGCACACCTAAGGGCAATTTAGCAACGCCAATTAGCCTCAGCACGTCTTTGGACTGTGGGGGGAAACCGGAGTACCCGGAGGAAACCCCACGACGACACGGGGAGAACATGCAAACTCCACGCACATGTGACACATGAGACTCGAACCCAGGTCCCAGAGGTGCGAGGCAACAGCGCTAACCACTGCACCACCATGCCGCCCCTTATTCCAGAACCATTGCAGCAAAAAGGTTGAATTGATATTAATCATTCTAAGTAATATAACAAATGGTTACTGTAGTGATGGTCTTTGATGCAGATATCTGATTTCATTAAGTCATATAAATGGTAAAATTAGCTTCTTTGCTTTCCATTTTCTGGCAAGCCCCAGTGACCCTTCACCGAGACTGCCTTTTATTAGCATCAAGAATTAATGGGAACCTTATTACTTGTAACCACAAATAGGATGCTATCACGATCAGTAATAAATGTAGGAATTCTAATCGAAAATACTGTTGATTTCTACAGCCACAGCAACGCGAAACAAAAATGCCTACATAACGACAACATAGTCTGCTAAGTTTATACAGTAATGACATGCTGCCTCCATGTATTTTACAATTTCATACGGTTGGTGAATTTAAAGTAAAACATCCGCCTCGATTGTATACATCTGCTTCGATGTTAGCCTATTACTGTATAAGGCCAAGAAAACACAACAGGCGCAGGATAAGAGGAGGATCGGGCTCCCGCACCAAAGCAGTCTGTACCCGGCTGACTGTCCCGGGAGGCTGGGCACACTGCAGCACGCTTTCCCGCTAAACTGGGAGCTGAACGTCGTCTATCATCCTGAGAGACTGAATCATGGTCCAGAAGAACCCCAGCTGTCAATGAGACTCCGAGAGGAACCACTCAGCTATCCCTGCTTTTCTGTATTCCCAAATCCTCGTTATATGAGGTAAACTAACAACAACAAAGAGGTCATTTGGTCATTGTCATATGTAGCGAAATAAAGTTACACAGTAAACCTACAAAACAACCGCAGACTGGAAATCATACCCTATATACAGTAAATAGGTCAACATGATTTATATCGGACCCCAAAGAGACAGCTGTCCTGTTAACAATATGCACGAAACACTAATTTACCAAGCAAAATATACTGAGAAGTATTATAGTAGAATGTATAATTTACCAAACTGATTTTTCCACACCACTGTAAAAGCGCCAACTACCAAAACACAGCAGCGATCTCTGAAATACGGCAGGCTTCATCGCAAATAGCAATGACAGGGACATCGAAAGCTTGGGGGAAAGACGCACCACCATCAAACTACAATGCGAAGATTAGCCGGCAATGATACCATACAACTAGCCTTTTAGCAGTGCTGCACATTACAGTGACACTTACCTTTCCCAAGAAACAGGTTGTTTTACGGTACACCAGGGTTACGGCTCCTTAACAACGGTAGAAAGTCAGCGAGAATTTAAGTTTGTAGACGAACAGGTCAGGACCCAAAAACAATATTCAAGCGATCGATACATACACATATGAACTTAACTACGCGGTATACGTCCTTGTTAAACCGCCGCGTACGGGCTGATCAGTGAATCGGCATTCGACTAGGTGCGGACTGAAGACGTCACTGAAAGAAGCCGGCAAGCGCCACGCCCACCGGCTAGCGAGTACTGCCACATGTTACCGACCGGCTGCTGTGCAATAAGAAGGCGGGGTGTATCTAGGTTTTGGCATATGCTAATCAGACTCTGAAAAGACGATTTAGAATGCTGAATACGTCAAAACATATTAATTTGTTGGCTCGTAAGAGATCTAACATTTTTTGGAAGAGTTCTGATGACAAAAGCAGAAGAAATATCACGTTTAGTTTGTTGATCACAAAATGGTCAAGTCTACTGTTTGCATGTTTTTTGTAATATTGCCTATTCTTGGATACCAGGACAACTTATGTTTATAAATTAAACTGGATTAAAAACATTTCTAACACTCTTACCTTGGTATTGGATCTCTAATTATGTCTTTGCTGTGTACTTACTATCACAAAGTTATAAATGTGAATTACCTACCAAACTTTTGAATTTTCAGTAAATTCTACTACATATAAATCAGCATCCCTGTTAGTTTAAAAACTTTATTAAAAGCATACTTAAACTATGGATCTTTGTCCAGCTACACACCAGCACTTTTAATCGATCATTAGCAAATGTTTAATTTTTATCTCACAGTAGAATCTCTAGTTAATTTTTTAACCATGAAGCTTTATATACAAATATGAAAACCCAGCAGCAATACCTCCCTTCCAAATGAGCCTAACCTCTTCAATGCTTGCTTTGATAAGGATAAATGGCACCACCCCCCCAACGCCAAGACAACAACAATTATTCCACAGCCAAAGCATTCTGCTGCCACCAGCCTACATGACACTCCACAGGGTGCTCACCCTCATCATCATAAAGTGCTTTGATAGGCTGGTCCTGGCCCAACCAAGACCTTGTCTTCTCCCTACCTTTGACAACACACAACACAACACAACAGTGTCTTTTTGTCCTGAAGAGACTAAAGAAAGACTGTCACCTCAGGCCCAGACAGATTTTACTGATGTACTATCAGGAGCATCTAGAACAGCTGTATACATTGTGGTATAACAGTTGCCCTGTCTCCAACCAAAAGGTCCTGCAATGGGTAATAAAAGCTGACAAGTACATAATCGGCTCCCAGCCCCCCTCCATTGAGGACCTCTAGCAGAAGTGATGTTTAAAAAGCAACATCATTGGAGATCCCAAACCACAGACTACTTATTAGATTCCTTTCCATATGGAGGTACAACCAGGGTGTCTATGGGGGGCAGAACTGGGTCAGCTGTCCCCAGATCCTGGGTCAAGGGGGCCCAAAAGGGCCCATGTTATATACTCTGCTGGAATAATCTGTCAAAAATACATATTTGTGAAAACTTGATATAAGCGCGCGTACAAGTTCTTAGGTCGGCGTTCACGGTTTGACTTCTGAGATTCAGATCGAGCTCTAGGTAATTTTTTTTCGAACTGGTTGGTTCGACTTTTAAGAAATTTGAGTTCTAATGAGTTCGAGAACTGAGGTACCACTGTATTTACTGTATAAATCACATAAAAGCTTGCTACTTTTTATCTTCCTAATTTTCATTGAAATAGTGGTCGAAAACAATTTTACTTTCCCTCCTTATAATGCAAAATGTCACATTCGAACAGTGAAGGACACAGGAGCAGGCATGAGGGTAAATTATTCCGAATGTGTCCTCCTTGTTTATTGGTGCTGTAACTCATAGAGAAATAATTAACATTGTGAAAACATTTAAAAATAAAAAGTCCACTGACTGTTTTGGTATTGACATGATATTAGTT